TGCCGTTACTTTAATGCCCAAACATAAATTGTTTCCTTGAGTTTCCTAGTTATTTTTGTACATCTTCTCTAAATTCCCTCTGCTCACTTTCCAGAGTAAATAATTCTCTTATAAAAGTATGTTTATATCCAAATGACCAGAAGTGTAATCTATTTGCAGGGTAGATTATATTTCAAGATCAACCCTTAAAGAGAACAATTTAAGTTTCTTTACCAAATATTCATCTCCATTATGTCCTCCACATTATTTTCAGAAAGCAAACCATGGATTAGGTTTGTAATAACACCGTAAAGATTGAAAAGCAGGAGCTGTAACAAAATTGTCTCACTGAGGGACTTGGAGAATAAAAATAACATCGGGGAACGCTGATGCAAAATGAGATGGGATATAAAGATGCAGGGCACATGTCTACCCCTACACCACTGCTCCTTGATATTCTCCTTCATCTTCCTCACTCTATACTTGTGGAGGTTCTCTGGTGCAGCCTGACACTGGCACTCCAGGTTGCCCCTACACTCTCCCTTCGTGGCTGGCAGGCCTGTCCTGTCTTCCTTGGCAGCACCACAGAGCCCTCACATCCACAACTGGCTTTTCTCGTTGCTTCATTTTCAGTACAGTCAATTCTTTGACTCTGTAACTGATGCTTCATTTTGCAAAACATGTTTTCTTATCATTTCTCGTCTGCAGTTTATTCACCCTTCACATGAGGAACTAATGAGAAAGCCGAGAGAAAACCAAACACTATTTGTATTAATTTATTAGCAGGAAGCCAATTTTTGCTCAATATTGCAACCATGTATTTGGGATTTAACAGAACATTCCTCAAACTGAAGGCCAGCAGCGAAGTAAGTGGATTTTGGACAAAGCATTTTCTGCCCTCGTGAAAACAGCAGCAGGAAACAAACTCCAGTGGTCAAAAATTGGATCATAAAGATGAAAAACCATATGTGTTTCTGGTCTTTAAATTGCTACTCTACAGAGTGATAAGAGACACCATATAGAACCTTATCAGGATTTAATTTCCTAACAGAAATGAGAAAGGAATGTGCAAACCCCCTCTTACATGATCTAACATTAGATTGCTGTACACGATAAAAATTTCTTAACAGGCGTATACCTAAGAAAGATAACATTCCCTCTCTTCTTCCTGGAGATGCTTTCTAAATACAAATCCTTTTAAAAATAGCGTATTTCTGGCTTGCTGTGCACGACTGTCTTCTTGAGGAAATGTTTTCTAGCAAAAACCTGCTCACAGTTACTGTATCTTCTCAGTGCTTCTGTAATAATACCTTGTAAAATGCTCTTAGTACATGAGGTTTATGAATGAAGCCTGTCGAACTATACATAGTACAAAACCATGATTGTTAAATTTCTTTGAAGTTTAATTCATAACTGTAGTCTAACTGGATCATAAAGGATCTATACTACAAGCCACCACCACTATGTGAGAAGTCTGGTTTGTATTTGTATTTTGTACATGCGTCTTTGCCATGTCATTCTGCATCCCCTGAGTGACTCTTATATCCTAAATTATACTTACTAAATCCCCCACATACCATTCTATTTCCAGGCTCTACCAACTACAACGTTATTTCCAGATAAACTTGGATTTCCAAAGGGTTCACTGCGAGCATAGTTGTCCTTTTGATCAAGAAAATGAGTAAATTTTGACACAAATTTTATACTGCTCATATTATGCTGTATTTACTGTAGGGACACTATAAAGAGCATTTACAAATGACGCAGGCATGTTCAGCATCCATGTACGGCCTCTGGGAATAGCAGAGACAAGCAGTGCTCTGAATTTGTGAGGTACTTGCTCTGCTGAGCTATGGGCAGCATTTTAAGATGAGTGGTTGTAGGAAATCAGGGCTCCCACTCTCAGCTTCATCTTTTTTTTCCTGCTCTGCAGATTTTGCAGTTTCACCTCCTAGTGTTTCTGACCTAATCTAATTCCAGGAATCTAAAATACTCCCTATGACAACCAGAACGGGATTATTTACTGCTGTGGCTGTATTATAACATAACATGGGCTGGTCTCATTTTACAGCACTGCCAGTACCATTAGAAGGAGTAGTTTTCTATGGTCATCTTGTATTTTTGTTAGGCAAACTAAAAAAGGCTAATTATTGACAAAACACAGTAACACATGTACTCCCAAAAATACTAAGGCTGTGCCTATCGTACCTTGTTTTAATAATTTCTGAGTCCTGTCCCTCATGCTTAAAAATAAAGCTCACAAAAAGCACTTATAGTATATATTCATGACATTGCTTCCTAAAAACATCTCAGAGAAGGGTTTGCCATTTTTTTCCTTCCCTTCTCCACATCTCTTGGGATGATGAGGCAGACAGGATTTCCCACCCTTATCTCCAGTATGTCTTCTGCATCAGCCTGTTCTGTGACTCTGCAAAAGCATAATATACATCTTGGTTCTGTGCCAAGATTGCCTGGGAAGCCAGGCTTCCAACCAGCTCTTCATACCACAACCAAAATCATCTGCCCTTACGGAAATACCCAGCTGACTACACCGTTAAATACATTTTTGGTGTGAAAAAGCTTCAGACAAGAAAACTTCAGCAAACCCTGACCTTTCCTTGGACATGCTTCAAGACATACTGCAATGTTATGTTCCAATAATAGAAACTCCACAGATGAATAAGCAAATATTTAAATTTTACGGATATCACCCCAAGGGAAATTTTTAGTTAAACATAAATGGCACGATTACCTAATGGGCATAGCAAAATGTTAGGAAAGTGAAGTGTTTGGATAAAACAGCAACCATTAATTTTTCATTTCATTTTTTTCTCAAATATAACATGCTTCTGGAGATCATACTTAGTGAACATACTCGTGGTTCCAGGCCCACACAGTATTTTAATTCCATAAGGTGCGTGGGAGGCTTTTTTAAATCCGCATAATTTTGTGTTATTTTCTTTTTACATGTTATTATCATCAGATGGAGGGGAAATTAAACATTCTGAATGTGTTAAAAGCCTTGGTCTTCTTGACTCCTATTACCAACTGCTAACTATTGCTAAACTCATCCATTTTTGGAACATGAACAACCTTGATAACATCAGACGAAGACAAAATAAAAATAGAGCTTTGGCAAATCCTGTGAATTGAATTCCGGTATCTCAGAACACCATGTAAAGCTCTTGATTGCCTTTGCAAATGTAGCTCACTACATTAATATTGAAGCTACCTCATTTCCTAACTTTCCTGAGAGCAGCCAGAACTATAGTCATGCTGGAAAAAAGAGGAACTAAATAAAATCCAGGCTATGAATATAGCTGTAATTTGTTTTTTCCTGGAAAAGGTCTTGTGAAAACCTTCCCAGAAAAGGTTCTGTGAAAATTATTCCTAACCAACTTTATATCTAGTCTTCCTTTCTTTTAGGGTACAGTATATCTCTTGTTTCCTCCTTTTCCTTTGTCTGAGCAGACAGTAAAAGCAACCTTCCTCATCACCTTAATTATTTGGCTTTTAAGATGACCAGAATTGAAATACAGTCCTTATTTTGACATACAGTCCTGTACAGAGCATTTGAATTTTATCACTACTTAGACATGTGCTAATGAAGATGCTTAACGAGCAGCAAGCCCAGTTTTTGGTTGCCTGTGTCGTGTTGACATGACAAGACCATGCATCTGATGCCTCGGGAAGAGGTCCCTGGAGCTCAGCCCTACACAGCAGGGGAAATTCTGGGCTGTAGAATAGGACAGCACTGTCTTGACCCTGCATTTCTCTGCAGGACATGTTGACACATACAAGGTGGTGTCCCCACTCTTTACAACCCCTCTAGCAGCACTCAGAGCAAACATGCTCTGCACAGACCTCCAGTAGGATGATGTGACTCCCATCATCTTCACATGACAAAGCACAAGGCCAAAAAAACCCCACAGGTATGGCTGGCTGAGCTCAAGCACTCTCCACTCTAAGTACTCCAGCTCCTGTCCTCAACACCTGCATCTCTCTGTCTGCACTGATAAAGCCTCTGCCAGACCACAGGCTCAAAAGAATCCTCTGATGAGGCAAGAACATAGGCACCCTATGGCATCACATCAAGGTGTGATGTCACAGCACTGATGTCACGAGAAGGCAGATTATTATATATGCAAGATATATCATGACCCCTTTTCCCCCTTTGACAGGTGAAGAGTTGCCTGAGGTCAGGAAAACCAACTGGGAAGCCTGCAGGAGATGCTTGTGCTTCCAGTCCTTGAGAGAAGCAAGATCCCTGAGAGAAGTCACTCTGGGACAGTGGCACAAGTTCCAGCGAGTGAACACCACAAGCATCTCCATCCTACAACCAAGGAAGTCTGTCCTGCTCCTCGAGGTCCAGCTGAAAAGCTGTATGCAGGTACCTGGGCTGCCCTCAGGTCCCAACAGGCTCTTGTGTGGCTGCCACAGCCTGACAGCAGGTACACGATATCTCAGTCCACCAAAGCTGCCTTCTTACATATAAACATGTGAAAAACAGGGATCATCAGGACCATCAGTAACAACATGAGGGAGAGGCAAATGCACATTTACATGCAGAGGAGAGTAATTTATGCTGATGTAGGTACAATAAAACCAAAGCTGGTATGCAAAATCCTAGCAGGTCTAGGCAATCACATAGTGGTGTCCACTAAGAGACCATCACTGAGGTGTGATGCTTCACAGGGTGAAGCTGCAGCCACAATCCACAATTTAGGGTGGAAGCACATAAAGCAAAATTCTGCTTTCTGATCCTGTGGGAAACGAGGCAGGGATGCAAAGATGCATTTGCTGTTCTTTCCTCCCTCCTTTTTGATGATATATTCTCTGTCCACAGGTTATGGATGTACTGAAGCCATTCTGCTGATGAAGGGACCTGTGCAACTGCTGCCTGCAAGCATGGTCAGGGCAGGACAGAGCCAAAGGGGTTGGGGCTGCACATGGAGAACATTCAGGAATAGCTACTGGCATGTGCTTCAGTGACATCAGTTGTGACAACACACCCAGCATGTGGTTACACCCTACATGCCACAGGGGACCAAGTATGCACACAGCTGGGAAATGCCACTTGGACTGAGCCCCCCCAAAGAATATGCAAGAGCTACATAACCTAAACAAAAAGTGAGAGCAAAGGGCCACTTAAACAATCAAAAATGCATCTGAATTCCAATCAGATATAACACCAGTTCTTGACCAGCAGCAGTTCTGGTTTTGCTGCCTTTCAACTTTTTTATCGTGTCCATTTAACATTGCTGAATCTTGTACCTTGAGAGCAGCTCCTTCGAAAACAGTTGTTGAGTCTGGCTGTAAGTTAGCAAAAATACCAACAGAAATCAAACTCATATCTCGAATTCATGCATTTCTAGAAACATAATTGTTGTATGATCAATGCCTTTAGGTGCTTTACTAATAGCTTTTACTTGGTAGAGCACTGTATAAGCCTTTTTTGCTACAAGGTGAGAAGAGATAATAGATATTTTTTAAAAGCATGGAACACTTTAAACACCAAGAACCACCAAAGACCTTGAATTAATTAAATTTCAGATTAACAAGAAAAAGCCTCCAATGTCAGGTGATCTCACTGCAGTCATAAATATCTGGAAGTTGTGTAATTATTTAATGCTCTCCTCTGTTTATAAGCCTCTTAGAACAGAAGCACATTCTCCAGAGATCATTGGCTTACTGTGTACCTAAAGAAATTAAGCTACAGTTCAATTATGGTAAATATATTTCATTCCCCCTAGGAGTGGGCAGGTGAAAGTGCTTAGGTTCAAACAGAAGTTAGATTAACAATAAGAAAGTTATTTAACCCCTAACTTATATAGTGAGGTCCTTGCACAGCTTCGCAGGACCATTTCCTCACAACCAGTGTGGAAAACAAAGCATAAAAAGCATATATGTTTATTTTTATTATGGATTCAAAACCTATTTTCAAATCCTATCAGTGAACAATCATCTTCCATTCAGTAGCCACGTGTTGTGTGAAGTTCTTTAATATTTAAAACCTGATGTAAGCAATATGCAGCATTTAGTGATGTCCATCAGTATCCTGTATCACCACACAAAGCATAAGGTGCAACTTGGCAACAGAAGACAGCTTTCCACTGGAACTGGGTAAACATATAATGCTTTGGCTACAGCCTTGACTTTCCCTCTGCCAATTTAATTTCACCAAAATTTTGATGAGGTTCCCAGACATGAGTGGTTTGGTGGTTTGGGTGGTTCTACCCTGTAAGGTCTAAGAGAAACCAATTTTCTCCCGTTTCTTTTAAAGCTCCACATTATGTTGCATATTTCACTAGAAACAGTTTTGCTGTTGCTGGTTTTGCCTTCAACTCCACTGCAATTTAGTGATCCATAAAGATGTTGAGGCCACACTTCAGGAGAGGACGCTCACGTCCTTTAAATGCACACTGCTGAGTGGCCCTAATGAAGTCAGTGGGAGCACCAGTCTATGCCAATTGAGGTAAGTAAGCCTTAAAACCTCAAAAAGGAATTTGCTGAAACCAAGATATATAAATGCAAATCTATTGATAATAAACAGAATCAGAAACTGGAGAGCTGAATGGCTTCACTGACTGCTTTAAAATCAAGATTAAATCAGAGGTTGTCTAAGAACAAGGCTACCTGCTTCATTGACAGAGTGTGGTACCTCAGAAAGCAATTAAATCAGACGACTTAGCATTTATTTTTGTTTAAACTGCAGTCAGTACCAGCCATTGACCAATAACAGTATTTAAATAGCAAGCAAGCAGTGTCACTGTTGGGCAAGAAAAACGAACCAGCAAAGATTAGGAAATACGCTGTAGTGGGCAGACAGCTAAGCACAGGCATCAGTTATTTAGGGATTCAGTCGTGCCTGTTGCCCACAACAACAAAAACAACTCCCTCCGCTGTATTTTCAGCAATGAGCTCTCTGCCAACCACAACACAGCAGCTGCAAACTTCACTAAAGATTTCAGCTTAATTACTCCAGCATTCCTCCAAGCACTTACAACAAGGACCGATCCGTGGCTCTGGAACAGAGCATCCCAGCAGCCTCACATCTCCCTAACAAGAGAGTTTAGATGTGAAGAGCTCCATTCAAGCAGTTGACAAGCTTGAAAGCACCACCCCTGCTATTCAATCTCCTTCCAGTTCAGATACTCTTGTAGGCCACATACAATGACATATTATTTCTTCTGGTTTGTGCCGGCATCCTACAAAGCTAGAGAAAGCCTCTCAAGCACACTGCAACATGTCTGTTGCCTCCTCCTCCTGCTCTTGGTGTTAACCAGGGCTACAGCAGCTTTACACAAGAAGGGAGACTCCATTATTCAGCTGAGAAACATAGATGCACACATACGTATTTTATTCATAAACGACAGATATATAGATATCTATCTCTACTGCAAAACTTCCATCTCCAGGGAATGCATAAAATATCAATACTTTTTATAATGTATCGTTGGATTGCAATGCATAATTCTATAAAGGATTGTATTATGATTGTCATACGAATAAGTTATAGACAAGAAAATCTGGGGCATACAAAAAAGCATAGTCATTCACTCTTATAGACAAGCTCTTGCTTTATACCACACAACAGATCCAAAATAATTCTTGGACTCCTGCAAACATAGGCAGGAAAAGAGCAAAGCCCTTTTGATTGGCACGGGGATAAGCTGCTGCTCAAGGAACTCTCTGCTCATGCTGGTAATTTCCTCTGCGATGTTCCCCATGATTGATTTTCACAAGTAGGAGTAAAACAGAATCATGCAAGCTGGGACACTGCCTAGAAAATAAATCTTTGAATTCAGCTGACAAAATGAGTCAAACAGCAATATCATCGGGACCACAATACAGCTTAGGTCGCCTTGCCAAAGAGCAGGAGAATGTTCTCAGGAACCACACTCTTAAAGAAAAGCAGTTACTGTTGACAAAATGTGTTTTTAATGGCAAATAGTGCCAGGCTGGGACTGCTGGTACAGCCTTAATGACATAAGTTAATGCTGTATCAACTTAAACCCTGCAACGTTCTGGAACAATAGCTCTGAGTGACAGAAGTCTTCTTCATACACTATTGAAATCAAATGAAAGGGAAAGGGAAAGGCAAATAGGTTGCAAACACATCTGAAAGGAAATTTAATGGGTGAAATTCACTGTTCACTCTCCTGACAACCACTTCTTGACAGTTCAGTGTTCTCATCTTGCTCAGGGCTACCTTTTGCCTACTGCTAAATGGCCCTGGTCTTTTACAGCCTCTGAATAAGCTGTTTCTAGCTACCACTGCCCTTGTTATTTTAATAAAGAACCTTCTTCACCATCACGAAGCTGTTTTCCATTTAAAATTAAACCGGTTGGCAAGTCAGTACTTAGCAGTAGCAAAACAACTTTACCGGTGAAGAGTAAGGTATCCGTCTGCATTCTGCTGTGGCCCACTCTTAGTTTTGACTAAACAGTGATAACTTACACTGCTCTCCTGCAGAGTACTTACAAACAAACAAAACCCCTCCGACATCATCTCCTGATGTTCAAGGATAGAAAGTTTGCTAACAGTAAGTAGCTAGACTTAACGGAGAGCGGACTAAACATGACACTTCATTCACAGCTCTCAGACTTATTGCAATAATTGTCATCGCAATTAGAGTTATAAATACATTTACAAGCAAAACGTGTCCCAACATTTGCATCACACACATTTGTGATACACGGTGCTATTGGGGTAACAATATATAACAACATATAAAGAAAGTTAAAAATTAAAAACAATCTGCCAGGTACCTAAAAAGTCATACAACAATAATGCCCAAATAAACAATTTCCCCCCCCCTTTTCCATTATATCCTGTTAATGTAATTCCCTTCTCTGCTCCTTCTAAAATGCAAATCTATTTCCCAGTCTCACAGCATGTGTATTTTCATACCTTGCTGGTCCACACAGTGCAAAAGAGATTTCAACTCGTGCACAGTAAGTCTGCATCATGATGCTTATATGCAAGAGGGGGAGAACAGAGATAGCCAAAGGGGCAAATGTGCATCTCTGCCCCAATTTCATATGGTCTGGATAAATTTACTGCAGTAGAGGAACTACTGTCTATTGCTAGAGTGGAAAAATTCTATCTGAGGAAAAGGATGAGAAACAAGGAGGCGGGGGGTGTAAAATGCCTTTTTTGTTGTTGTTGTTGTTGTTGTTGCATACCCAGGTGAACACTTAATAAAACAGCAGTTGTAAAAGCCAAAGCCACACATACAATTTTTCCAGGCAATTCATTCTCAAATCTGCCTTCGTTCTTTTCCAGTAATTTCACAGAAAAGTTCATATGCATCCGGAGTGAATAATCCAAAGTTACAAATAGGGTATGGAGGCAGATGACATGGGGGGTTTTTTTGTGACAACTAGTGCCACATAAAGGAGCTGCAGAAGCACTTCAAGCAACCACGACTTGGAAACCCAAAACTCAAATCTTTCTCCTCCTTTCAATGTAAAATAACCTAGTGAAACATGGAGCTCTTTTACTGACACACACTTGCAGCCCTTCCCTTGAGCAGGGAAAACCGAGAAAGGCTGACAGAACATGTCAGAGGTTTGGCACACAGAAAGCTGCCATACAGGTCCATGCACAGGAATCCCCGTGTATAATTCTCAGGATCAATTGGTGAATTGGATCAGCATGTGCAGTTTTTGTCTCTCCTGACAAGACAGAGTCAAGACTGCCAGGCTGACACTAAACTCTTCAACTCATGGTGAAACTCTTCAGCTCACAGTGCCCCGGGCCCACAGAGCAGCTGAGCTCTTACCTGACTGACAGAAAGGCAAATCTCTGTGAACCCAGCTTTTCTCCTCACAAGATTATATATTTCAGTGTAGTTACTCTTTGTCTGTATCTGTATTTTCTCCATCTGATCAGGGCTGATACAGACATCCTCTCTTTGACTTCCAACAGAATAATATTCAGTAATAACCTACAAAGCGAGGCTTATAAAGTGATCGCTTTGACTGTACAATCTCTAACATCAGAGTTACAACAATTTCCTCTTTCTATTCCCTTTTTTTCTACCTATAAAAGTCCAAATTTACATGCTTTACAAAGAAAGATTCACCCACAGAGTCATCTGGGAAGAGAGAGAAATTCTCAGGAGAGAGTTTTCTTCAACATCCGAGACTCCCTGGTCCCCACCCTCTGTGAGATCTTATTTCTATTGCTCTCACAGATTCCCTACATTATACAGAAAGTATCCCTTTATTTTTTTCACTCTTTGCTTGCCTAAAGAAAACTTCAGGTAATGCAGATGCATACATCTGTAGCAGGTAACTGCTAATACCTGATACAGCCTGAGAGGCTGCCCCACTGCAAAGCACTTCAAGATTCAACCCAAATAGAAAATATACGGCTTTCCAGCAAGGATCAGTAGCTTCTGCATTTTATTTGCATGAAAAGCACATATAGTATATTTTGTGTTGAATGTAACAGTTTTTCCTTCTGCTCAGTGAAGGGATCATAACAAATCATCTGTAAACCTCTACAGCCAGCAGATGCAAGTGTGCTTTCTCTCCCATTGAGCTGTGTCAGAGGGCCATGAAAGTACAACGTGTTCTCCTCCTGTCTCTCACAAATCATGAAAATAAAGTGGTGCCAGCTGCTTCGGAACAAATAACAACAGCATCTGTTTTTCCTCAGACAACTACAACTTGTACACCGCTAATAGTGTTTTCCCACTTTTTTACCCTATTGTCATCTCTCTGCATAAAAGACTCTCAAATGTGATATGGGTAATGCAGGGTTGAAGGAGTATCCATCACCATTTATCAGGGGTAAGGTGCTAGGGGGAACAGACTAAGTGACTGAAAGAGTCATAAATGAAGCTATGCTCAGGTTAAAGAAAGAAAACCAGCCAACCAACCGAAATCCCTTCTCAGACCAAATCCTCTCCATCCCAAGGGTTTCATCTACCACATATGCCCACTCACGCCCTCAGAAGCCAAAACTTTATGGTTTTCCCATTCTGCCACTGCTTTCTGGATTAAAGTCAGCACCATCCCAACAGCTCCTCACAGCCACTCCAATTCCAGGACAGGCAGCAGCCAGCACTTGGCATCACATTCCGCAGTTCTTAGCACATCCCGAGAATAAAAGGGGAAGAATGAATCAGCTCTTTTAGAGTTATAGCATATCTTGGCCATTAGCAGAACAAAACTACAGGAGACAGTGTTGATTAATGCATCCCTTCTTTTTCTGCTTTTCAGTTAAGCTTACAAAGGCTTGTCTGTCAACTCCTGTTCTTTCAAATCCAGCATACATGGGGTTTACTATGATATAATTATCAAAATGCAATTCAAAAAGGTGTTTTCTTGCTCTTCAACATCAAGTGTATTTGTAAAGGACATTATAGCTCCGGGAAGAGGGGAAAAAAATAATAAATCTGCAACAGCAAGGACAGCAAATAACAGCATTCTCATAAGCACTAACACTTTTATTTTCCCTACTAAGGATGAGATAAAGTTGCACTGTAGGTATTCAAAGGAGCTTGAAGAAAGGGAAGAGCAAAAGATTTCTTCTTTCTCTCTCAAAAAGACAAGAGGTGCCTCTGATTTTAGGGGATCAGAGTGGGTTGCAGCACGACTGCTGTTCACCCAGCCTGAAATGGAAAGCATTGCAATACCCATTTATTTCCCTTCCAGCTACATCACCTGGGAGCTGAAAGCGTGTTACATGCTGTGACCTCTCCTTGTCTTCTTCCAGGCAGGGCTGAGGCTGGTGGCAGAGGAGATTAGGCTCTGAACTCCGCTGGCTCCAACTGTGTCATTAGGATGACTCATACTGAGGGAGAACTGTGGTTTTTGGTGACTCACATGATGGCTAGTTTGGAACTTAAGCCCTGTGGTTCAATCCTTAGCCTGCAATCCCTTCAATAATCTTTTAATACGAAGTTTAGTTCATATATAGGGCGAGCAGAGCTCCCTTCACTAAAATTAATTGGAAATGGATTGTGGAAAGCCACTCACATTAATCACCGTGAACGTTAAAAAGAAAGTATACTTCTTGGGGTGGGATTTTTTTTTTTCAGTTTATCTTTTTAAAGCATACCAGAAGGCCTGCTTACCAAAGCCAGCACAGTGCAGTCAGAACCAGCAAAGGCTTTTCAGAAACCTTTGTAAGCACACAGCATCCCTGCATCACAGAGAAAACAAACATCCTGATTTTGCCCAGGATTTTTCTCAGGTAGAAAATAGCGCTTCGTGCAACACAGTCGTCTTCATCCCCCACCCCAGGCTCACCTTCCTCCCTCCTGGAAACATAGCTGGATGGCTTAGAAAATGTGTGGAATATGTCATTTTGATTATTGATCACCTACAGGCAGGAGAGAGGCCTCTCTGAAGAATAAGGAAGAAGAATTAAAGAAAAAAAGATAGGCTGATGTCAACTTTTCCATCTCCTCAGATGGCATGGTGAGAAGCAGGAACAGAGAGCAGACTGGACAACAGGCCAAATAAAGTTGTTCTTCTGGCTTGGGTGGTGCTGGCACCAAGCCCAGATCTCATTCTCCTGACATCTCCTTTCTGTCCTACGGCATCTTTCATCCAAGGAAAAGCACCTCCTGCACCACCACTGAGCCAGTTCAGGGTTCCAGCTGGCACATTTGGTCTAAAGTCTGGCATTTGCTTCAGCACTTCGCTCCACATCGTCCTCCACCACGACAAACAAAAAGATCGTGGTGCAAAGGAACTGGCTCAAAAAGTGCATGTCATAGCTGATCCCAAAATGATCCCCAATGCATCAGTAGAGCTGGTAAGATTTTGGAGCCTTCCATGGCCTTACACAGAACAGCTGTCCATCCACAGGGGCCGTGAGACCACATCAGACTAACAGTTTGAGTTTTGCAATAGATCTTTGCTGTCCACTTTTAGTTAAATTGGCATTATCTTATTATTTCAATCCATAAGTTTCCTGATATTACCAGTAAATGGTTTCATCCTTGGCATGACAGTTATTTCAGTTCTGAATTGCTCCCAATCAGTCGGCTTAATTCCATCAATAACAACCTAATAAACGAACTTTAATCTTGCAGTAACGGATACTAATGGCAGCTTACTGTGGAGTAGCCTTTAACTGAAGCAATTTAGCCTCAATACTGGTCACAGCCTAGTGACAGTCCACACCACTGAGGTTTTCCAGGTGAGATCCTGTAGCCCAAGCCTTCGGAGCAAGCCATGGAAGTGGAAAGAAATTGTATCTGTGGACTGAAGTGGCAAACTACTCCCAGGTTTCTGAAAGATTTCTTTAGCCATCAGCAGGAAAAATGTTCTACAGCTGGGAGCATTTTGCTCCACAGTTGGTTTTGGGTTGAGGTTTTTGGGTTTTTTTAATATAGACAGCTTGTTTTAAACAAATTGTTAATTTTACAATTTTTTCAGTGATTATTCCCCTTGGTTTCACCCATTCCTCAAAAGAGGTGGTGTTTTCGAACAGATCTGATTTCAAAGAGATTCAAGAATTAAACACTGCCCTTTTTTCTAGCCCTGTCTCAAGAATTCTTCATGTAACAGACAACATCACAGT